TATCTATCTATCTATCTATCTATCTATCTATCTATCTATCTATCTATCTATCTATCTATCTATCTATCTATCTATCTATCTATCTATCTATCTATCTATCTATCTATCTCATTCATTCGTTCTATCTATCTGTCTATCCATCTACGTACAAACTGTAATTTCCTGATCTTGTTTTTGTTGTGGTTTATTGTTTAGTCAGTCCATTAATCTATTCTCACTCATTGACTGGTCATAATTTCATCCTGTTACTTATAATTCAACACACCCTCCTTTGTTCGCCCTCACCCACCAGCTGTTTGGCATTGTGTGTGCACGTCTGTCTCTGGGGGAAGACACAGGAGTCGAGGTCAAATTAGGAGCCAAGAGAAGAATTTCCTTCCGAACGTCTCGGGCAGGTGCAGGGAGCTCATGCTAACAGATTCCTCCCTTGTCGTAAGACGGAAAATATGTCCGCGGACGCGGCTCACTCGCACGCGGGTTTCTTCGAGCGTTGAGTGTTGATTAGTGCTAGTGTGAGAGAGACTTGTCATTACTTTGTTTTTTGCCCGTGTATGTTAAATCACACCACCTACCACAGGCTGTAGTGTCTTTCACACACAAACGCAAACTCAAAGACATGTTCACTCCCAAACAGGCCTGAGTTCTCCATCGCATTATTAATGTGAATTCAAAGTTGGTCAAATAAGCACATGTGGTGCTATAACACACACACAAACATGACCTTTACCATAACAGCACGTCCATCTCTTACCCATACATGCACGTGCTGGTCCATCGATCTCAAACACATGTGCTTATTCATACACTCCCTCTCACACACATAATTACGAACACTTGCACACATCTGGCCATCACACACACACACACACCCGTTGCTCGCTCAGCTGTGACCCTAAGCCTCTGGGCTTACTTTAGGTCACTGGATCACGGGGTCAGTTGTAGGGTATGGCTGTAGTGTTCGCTCACGCTAGAGTTGGTGTCCGTCCCAGAGGAGAAGCATCAGTGTGTAAGTCTGCTTTAATCCTCAGCTGCCAGCATACAGTCTATAACCCACGGCATTTCTCATTATGGCTAATCTAGCACGCTAACTTCGGCTCGAAGCCCACTGTATTTATCTCACGGTATAGTGGGCATGAGGTATGTTTAATGTATTCCAGTCTAAATGGGGTATACAAGCTATATATCATTTATTGTACACTAATTGGGGTATATAATTCAGTCTACATCAAATATTCTAGTGTACAGGCTATATATTATATATCGTTGACTAAATGGGCTTTGTACCATATATTTGTTTGAGGTGTATGCATGTGAAATATTCTAGTGTAAATGGGGTATATATCATGTATTCTTACCTTAATGATATATCCAGTTACATTTCAGATATTTTAATGGGTTATATGTCATCATAACTAAATGGACTTTAATATATTATAGTGTACATGGGGTACAGTATGTGTCAAATGATAGTGTATATGATATATAATTTTTATCATATGTTCTAGTTTAAATTATTTATCGTAGGAAGTATATATCATTCTACAGTATTTAAGATAAATATAACGTAAATATGATTTTCTAGTATACATCTATAAATCATTAATGCTAATGTGTTTTAAATATTATTTTCTAGTATATTGTATGTGAGGTATGTATCATTTGTTCAAATCTGTATAATTGTCATATTCTAGTGTAAGTTGGGTATTTATATTTAATAAATCTAATCCTTTAAGTTAAAAGTGATATGTATATGATGTTCATATATCCCCTTGATGAGGCAGTTGGTAGAAATAGGCAAATTAGGTCTATGCAATATATATATATATATATATATATATATATATACACTCACCGGCCACTTTATTAGGTACCCCATGCTAGTAACGGGTTGGACCCCCTTTTGCCTTCAGAACTGCCTCAATTCTTCGTGGCATAGATTCAACAAGGTGCTGGAAGCATTCCTCAGGGAGTTTGGTCCATATTGACATGATGGCATCACACAGTTGCCGCAGATTTGTCGGCTGCACATCCATGATGCGAATCTCCCGTTCCACCACATCCCAAAGATGCTCTATTGGGTTGAGATCTGGTGACTGTGGAGGCCATTTTAGTACAGTGAACTCATTGTCATGTTCAAGAAACCAATTTGAAATGATTAGAGCTTTGTGACATGGTGGAAGTAGCCATCAGAGGATGGGTACATGGTGGCCATAAAGGGATGGACATGGTCAGAAACAATGCTCAGGTAGGCCGTGGCATTTAAACGATGCCCAATTGGCACTAAGGGGCCTAAAGTGTGCCAGGAAAACATCCCCCACACCATTACACCACCACCACCAGCCTGCACAGTGGTAACAAGGCATGATGGTTCCATGTTCTCATTCTGTTTACGCCAAATTCTGACTCTAACATCTGAATGTCTCAACAGAAATCGAGACTCATCAGACCAGGCAACATTTTTCCAGTCTTCAACTGTTCAATTTTGGTGAGCTCTTGCAAATTGTAGCCTCTTTTTCCTATTTGTAGTGGAGATGAGTGGTACCCGGTGGAGTCTTCTGCTGTTGTAGCCCATCCGCCTCAAGGTTGTGCGTGTTGTGGCTTCACAAATGCTTTGCTGCATACCTCGGTTGTAACGAGTGGTTATTTCAGTCACTGTTGCCCTTCTATCAGCTCGAACCAGTCTGGCCATTCTCCTCTGACCTCTGGCATCAACAAGGCATTTCCGCCCACAGAACTGCCGCTCACTGGATGTTTTTTCTTTTTCGGACCATTCTCTGTAAACCCTAGAGATGGTTGTGCGTGAAAATCCCAGTAGATTAGCAGTTTCTGAAATACTCAGACCAGCCCTTCTGGCACCAACAATCATGCCACGTTCAAAGTCACTCAAATCACCTTTCTTCCCCATACTGATGCTCGGTTTGAACTGCAGGAGATTGTCTTGACCATGTCTACATGCCTAAATGCACTGAGTTGCCGCCATGTGATTGGCTGCTTAGAAATTAAGTGTTAACGAGCAGTTGGACAGGTGTACCTAATAAAGTGGCCGGTGAGTGTATATATATATACATATAATATTAATGTCCAGCTACTAAAAATTTTTAGATAAGAAATAAATATATATATATATATATATATATATATATATATATATAGTTCATGGAAACAGCTCTATATATAAAGTGAATTGTAAAGATTTAAGGATGCATTCCCTGAGGTCTCACAAATGTTTATTCCTGTAAAATCCACCTGCAATTATTACTTATTAGTTTGCTGTAAACATAAAATCACTCTTCATAGAAGCATTTGTGTTATGAGTGCTGTCGACAGTCGCTCCGAAAGAACAAACTGAAACTGCATTTGGTTGTCTGGAGTCTTTAGTCTGGCTATGTTTGGCCTTTATCCGTCTCCAGCGTTTAAACGAACACACACACTGCGTTTAGGGTTAAGACTGCAGTATTTCTGTTTCAGTTGTTCTTGGGTGGTCAGAGCTGACAGAGACACTACACACGCTGCCGACGGATCATAACCACACACACACACACCACAGTGCACAGTCTACACACACCCACACACTTCTTTGTTTGTAACTAAATTTGGCAGGTGAAATGGTGAACGGACTACAGTCACGCTTTAGAGTGAACTATATTAAACATCAACCGCTGCATGCATGAAACCTTCACACACGTGTTCTGCAGCGCAGGCTTTGACATAAAGGTTGCCGGCTCCCCTGTGTTCGGTTTGTCCAGCCACGTGGAGCTTGATGGATCGTAGATGGATGTAATGTAGGCCGTAACCCTGAAAATATTAAGAATGCAAATGCATAATGTAGTTTTTTTTTTTTTTTTAAATACAGCATCCATTACCCTTCTATCTCCAGATGGCCTCCATTTATTCACGCAGTTTTGTAAAGACCCCGGCTTAATGGTTTTTATTTCTTTGGTCCTGCTGTAGCCGCAGCTTTTATCCTGTTTGGCTTCATTTCCCAGACTGCATACTTTAGTTTTTCATTTATTATTCACAAGACACATTTACATTAAAAATTATAAGTAGTACAACCTATTTTTTGAAAATCAGCTCTCTTTGAGTGAATGTAAATGTTTAATTTGCAGGAAGTTTACACATTAAGTATTCCAGTTGTGGAGTTTACCTTCTTCCTAATGCGGTTTATCTTCCTTGATTTTGTACCAGAACAAAGCTGTCAGCGTTCCCTGCTGAAGAGCGAACCCAACCTGTAAAAAAGACAGAATAATATATCTTTGGCCGAAACCCAACTGTAAGACCCTGTTGCGTTCACTAGCTTGGAATGATGGTGTGTTGGTTTCCTTGCAAGGCTTCTTGACTAGCTTAACCTGCTAAACTTTGATAAACCAGCTTCAAAAGAACCATGCTGGTTGGCAAATTTCGCTTGGGAGTGTCATGGTTATGTTGGTTCGCCAGTTGCCGTTATTTACTCGCCCTCCTGTTTTTACAAACTCATATGCTTTTTTATTTATGCCATGGAACAAATACTGAGAATTTGTAAAACCCTCACCACATTCGTCAAGCTCCAGAAAAGGCAAAAAACGTAATTAAAACGCCATAAGTAGTCGTATTAGATTATAAATCACGTTATGACTATATTTCAAGTCTTCTGAAGTCATATGATGGTTTTTGTGATGAACAAATGAAAATTTAAGTCATTATTCTCTGGAAATCTTCCACTTTTCCACAGCAAAAATGGGGCGAGAGTATAATTGAATAATAAAGACTTGAATTTGACTGAAGTCAAATAATTAAGTTATCGTAAAGTCATATGACTTCAAATGTATGAAATAACATTTATAGAATTTGTCAATTTATTGTTTTGTATTCCATAGAAAAAAATAACAACAAAGATATGGAACAACATTACGGTGGGTAAATAATGATAGTGAAAAATGAAGATTTTTGACCAAACCATTCCTCTAAAAATCTTAGCCTTACTAGTTCCTTCATTAATAACTATGGATTCGGTTTTCCAGGAGGATGCCCGTGGAGGACTACCCGGACCAGAGAGACCCCGGCCATTACCCGAACCCCATCTACGAGACCCATCGAGACAACTATCCTTCACGCTCTCCCCGGTTGCCCGTACCCAGACCCATGGAGGCCACGGGCGGTGACTACCCTTCATATCCAGCAGAACAGAGGGGTCCCATGAGGCACGATATCCCACCCTCGTCCAACCCAGGTGCCAGAGGACCACCGCGATATGAAACGCTAAACCAGGGGAACTATCGGATGGCCAGTCCTGATCGCTACGGGTCATACGGAGACGAACAATACCAAGATCCCCGGCAGAAAAACCCAATCGGAGCTGTCTAGAGGAGGAGGAAGTAGGTTTGTGCTGAAAAGGCAAGTGGTTGAGTAAAGTAGGTAATTTTGCCCATTTAAGGGGACACTGAAGGAACAATCGAATTAATTTTTGTGAGAAGAAAAAGCTAATAAAATTGGCTTGAAGTAGCCATCGATTACTGATTGATTAAGTAAACGTTGTGAATTTTGTTTTATTTGTATTATTATTATTTTTTTATGTCAGCCATTTTTCCTCTTAATTAGCAGGATGGGATGTGTGTATTGCTCAGTTCTGGACATCAACTCAATTTTACACCAGAGTAAGTTAAGTTTGAATTGTATAGCTTTACAAAGCATTTAGGGTTGTATGTACATTTTGCATGTATTTAATTCATGACGCCACACAAATGTAGATATGATGGTCCGCTGTGGTTCGTATGGCCATTTATGCCTAGTTGTACCATTCGTTTGGTTGATGATGTCATTGGTAGTCTCTAGTTATGCTGAAATGTCAGATTGCTTTATGATTTTTCCAGAGAGTTGTTTGTTTATACAGTATATCGGGTGCCTTATGCTAGCTCGGGTGAGAAGGTTTTAAGTCTGAAGAAATTTACCATCCGTTTACTTTTTTTGTGGTTGAAGAATGTTTTTTTCTTTCAGATTTTTATTGCATTTTATTGCCTTTGCAGTAACCTTGTCATCCTACAACGCTCCATTTAACTTTTGTGGGTTTTATTCTATGAATCAATCCTAAAGTGTTTTTTGTGCAATGTTTTAAGGGTAATATTCTCTTTCTATCACCTTCCTCCTTGGTTCATTTTTGTTCAACTTTTCTGGGATCCAAAAACAAGGAAAAGGGTGAGGTTACACAAATGTCTGATCTGATCTCAAAGTCTCGAACAACTGTTTTGACTTTTATCTTAGGTTTGAGATTTTAACATTCCTGGCGTCTGTTTTTATCGCAGTGTGAAACGCTGCCCCCTAGGCGCAGTACAACTTGTTGCGCAGTGTCCTTGGTTTGTAAAATGATCTGTTTATTGTAGTTAGAGGACACGTTACCAGTAAAAACAGGATCCCGTAAGAACCAACTTCGAAAACAAACATAATGACTTTTTGCACCTAGTTTATATTCAGTTTTTGTACATTTAATGCCTGAGTGAAGTGGTTTGCAGTAAAATGGCCAGATTGAAACTGGAGATGCTGAGAACATGCAGAATAGAGTACATGAAGTTTTTTTTTTTTTTAAATCTTGTACATATGCTACTCATAAATCAACTTAATACTATGTATGGATATTCAATCGATGTTCAATCTTGTGTCTGTCTCGTCACTGAAAAGTTGATTTCGATAATATTTTTTATATCACATTTTTCATTCAATGTTTATGGAAAATCTATCTTTCTGTTTATTTTTTATTTTTCTTGGATTTTATTTTAATGTTTTAATTTAATCTTTTTATATTATGTTTTTCTTTATTAACAGCAGTTAAAGGATTTTTTTTTTTCAATTTATTATGAAACTTAACCGAAGAGAAAATATTGTGCAATTTTTCTTATTTAGCCTTTATTTGTAAAATTAAATTAGTTTTTTTTTTTTTTTGGCTCTTATATATTTTTATAAAAATCAAGATGCTGGTCTGCATAACTTGTGAAGTCAAATAACATGGATGACAACAAAATGTTTTGTTGTTGTTGTTCTTCCGATACCTTATTCTTACTGTGTGGTTTTTATTTTTTTAAAGCTGTGCAAATGTTGTATTAAATGGACACACGCCATTACCACAAATGAATCTAGATGTTATAGGCCTCAATTTTGCGGCAAATAAAATGGTTATGACATCAGTTAAGAATGGTTACGACATTTTGGTACCTTTATTTGTTTATTTTAAATCAAATATTGTATGTTTTTTTTTTTTTTTGTAATTAAAATGGTGTTTTGGTTTATGACAGATTCGTGACGATGTGTTCATTGTCCTTTTGTACAGTCTTAAAGCTTCAAATTCATAATGATGACTGAGTGAACATACTTATCTAACATTACTGATAATTACTCCAGCTGATTAGTACTAATTCATCCTCTACCAATTAAGCTACGGAGGGCTGCGCTGAAGTTATTAGGGTCTAATGGACCTATTTGGAAATCTTGCTGATTAGGAAATTGGCATTAAAGTGTTTGCATATATCTGGGCAGAATTTCAGTTTAATTAACCCGTGGATGAGGAGAGAGAGATGTTAGGTGGGAATAATGCATTGTGAGAGCAACAAAAGGTTGATCAAATCTGAAAAGAGAGAAAAGAACTGTATCTCTTGTGTGATGATGTCAGTTTAATCTTCATTATTTGGGGAGAGGACCACCACGCGTGGATATCATTATGATCTGCCTTCTCATGTTCAGCACTCCTTCTCCAACAGCGATTTTTGCTCTTGTAAAATGTAACGTATTGATATACTATGTCGACTTATACCACATTTTTTTAATATGGATAAAGAAACTAGCATTTGTTTACAATACAATAATCTAGAGAAGTTACAGAACAATAATCAACAGAAAATAAATGTTTTAACTTCGACTCATTGATGCATTTTTAAAAGTGAATGTTCATTTTCTATCATGTGCTCGTCTCACTGGGATCTGCCATGTTGTGTGACCTCTTACATTCTGCAGATTTCTTCTGATGTTTATTAGTTTTAAGTCAACTACATACAGACTTATTAAAAGTACAGTAGCAAAAACTTGTTTAAAGGGGCTACGTGTAGGATTCAGAAACCCTTGTTATAGCGACATCGGTGGCCGTTTAGTGAACTGCTGCCGGCCACTTGTTGCCCGTGCACACGTAACGTACACACGACTGAACGCGATTCAAGGCCCTGATATACTCACGAGGAAGTTCTTTTTGTTTTTCAGAATAGCTCTTTCTGCATTATCCTGAACATTGTAAACATTCACTTCAGTTCAAACGTCCTGAGTCCTTCACATAAAAATAAGTTTGCAGGCTTTCATAGACAACCTAAGAAGTCGGGGAAGGTCTTGATTTTAAAGTTTGTTATAAGCTGTTCACACATTGGCAATAAAAAAAAGTGATTCATATGTGAAAATCTATAATTAATAATTAAAAAAGTATTTGGGATGTGCTGGAATAGACTTTACAGGGTGCTTCACTCCCTGATCTTGTATTGACAATGCAAGAGTCCAGCACTCTGTAAAGTCTCCTCCAGCAACAACCCCAAGACTTTCAGTGAATTTAAGATATGGTGCCAATTCATGTGTGAAAATGATTCTTCAAACTCCATCCCAACCATTCTGTCATAATTTGAGCCTGATAAATCTTGGAATATGGCCATGGTGTGTATTCCAACATGGTTGTTTAAGAAATGAAATGCTACACACTCCATCAATTAGGCTTAGAAGAACTGTTGCCAAACATATAACATGTCAGAAACATAATAATCTCTGAAATAATCATCCAATCATAGACTCTTAAGCATTTGCCAATTTAAATCCCTACAGTGACTTTTTTTTTTTGGCCGGGGAGTGTATATATAAAATGAAATAATCAGTTTTTAAATGAATAAGTAAAAAACAAATACAAAAGTATACGGCGCTGACAATTATTTTTGAAGTATTGGACCTCTCACTACACCAAATTTAATATACTACTAAGACTCATGTACCATTCCCAATAGGCCCCCTGTAATGGCCTTGAAGCTCTCGATGACCTCACTATGAAAATGAAATGCACATTTCATCCCTCTGTGTTCTTGTCCTTCACAGTCATCAACCGTTTATTTCAATTATGCCCTCTCCTTTCATTGGCGAGTCTCATATCCGTGCTGATCTTGCCAGTTGAGTGGATTTTGCTCATTTCATTATGCTGCCATTATAAGAGACTCCAGCAAGACGTTATCAGCGGAGCCTCAGAACAGACCAGCCAGAACAAATACTGGCCTGCCCTTCACCTGCCTTAAATATTGCATGTAAGAGCGAGTGCGTCATGTAATTGCTAAGAGCACACCTGTTTTACAGCCAACACACTCGAAGACATCCGCCCTGCTTTTAACTCCGAAATCTGATGCTAACTGAAATATTATTTGCTGAACAATTTTGACATTGAGCACATACTGATCAATCTTCAGCGCATATTCTATAAACAAGGAGAAGTGTAACATTTTTGCTAACACACAAACATCTAATTGTTCTTCCATCTGTTTTTGTTCAGACTCCCATTATTTCTTGGATTTAGCCTGCAGATTCAGTAAGTTAACAAATTCTACACACACACACACACGGTTTACCATGCAAACGCCACCAAAACCCACTTTCAAAGATGCTTATAGACCCGGACGTGCATGTAGACCGAAGATCAAGTTCAGTTATACATCCATTATGTTATACATTAGATGACTGCATTGCTGTAGCCATTAGCAAGATGTTACAAACCCTACATTAGACACAACCGATGTCTACAACAATGACTAAACGACGGCTAACATTACCAACAGCCCACATGACTGAGGTGACGTCAGCCAAAGTCATTTTAACCGTGATCTTCATACTATTGATCATTGATTAAGAAAATAGTCCCTTCACTTAGAACTGAATAGATTATCAATGATGTATGCGTTTTTACATTTTGCGGTATCAGAAGCAAAGGTCAAGTCAAATCGTCCTCCTTTAGAATGACATGAAGCTTAATTTAGATCTATAGTACTTCATGCACACACACACACAGCTAATGACCTTCCTCAGCTGACCGGCTGGCATGGGCCGTTGGAGGTGCTGCCAGGTGTTTTGGTTGACAGAACAGCGCGGGCTGCTCGTGTCCCACATTTCAGCCGCAGTATCGGGTTCCTGCATCAGGATAAAAGGAACGCTCCTATTAGCTTAGTGCTAAGAGCTGCGGCCGGCAGCCAAGAGATGTGTATCTAAGACTCGCTGCATTGGCACTGATGTTGGGAATGCCATTTTTCCTTGCACACAAAGTACTGTGGTAATACCAAGATATTCGCTGAAGTATCATTTTAGTATCATGGTATATGAATATGGTAATCAATTACTACTTAAGACCCCAAAATTACATGGTTTCTGGACATATAAA